AAGTTCGTAATGGATACTACAGCATATGACAGAAAATTGTCTATTCAGGTCAACGTTTTCGCATAGCCCCCCTATAACGGTACTTCCCGATATTCGGTATTTAGGTGATTTAAGCGGCATTATTTATAGGAATTGTTTCAAATTTGGTATTTGAAATTCGTCATGGATACTACAGCCTATGACAGAAAAGTTTCTTTGTAGGTCCACGTTTTCTTATAGCCCCCATATAAGGGTACCTCCCCATATTCGGTATTTTGATGATTTTAGCGACATTATTCACCGGAATTGTTTCAAATTTGCTATTTGAAGTTCGTAATGGATACTATAGCCTAAGACCGAAAATTGTCTGTGCAGGTCAACATCTTCGTATAGCCCATATAACGATACCTCCCGATATTCGGTATTTTGATGATTTTAGCGACATTATTCATCGGAATTGTTTCAAATTTGGTATTTGAAGTTCATAATGGATACTACAGTCCATGGTAAAATAAAAAGGTAAGGTAGAGCTAGCAGCTGATTACAATGTTTTGTAATTGTGCCCGACTTCTGCCAAATTTTGGTCCGTTCCAGAACTGCAAGAATGTAAAGGTTTTTGCTACAAAGTGGATTTTCCCTTTATGATATCGACAAAAAATTGCATAACTTATAGATTCTTGCAGGTTCTGGAACAGCCCTTTAATGTATGTATTTATCGTTGCGAACAATGAAAACAAACTGCAACAAAGTCAAACGCCATTATTTTTACATTTTTTGTTTAAATTTGATTGAATGAAAGCAAAAAATTTCGGAAATAGCATCACATTTTAGAATAAGTTTAGATTTGTTCGAATCGGTCACCTTTGACACGAATTATGGCCTTCAAACGACCAATGAAACCGTCACATGCTGCCCGAATGTTACTCTGCGACATTTTGGCCCATTCCCGGCGAAGCACTTGCTTGAGGTGATCGACACTTTGGTATTTTTTAGTGCCAACCTTGCCTTCCAAAATACTCCAGACACAATAGTCCAACGGATTGCTATCCGGAGATTTTTGGTGGCCATTGTGCACTGGAAATGGACCATTCTTGTGTGGCGCGTGCTGAGTACAATGGTGCTGAGTCCTGTTGGGTTGTCCAAGGTCTGCGGCAAAACGTTTGCGTGCCCAAGGCTTTAATACACCCTCCAGAATTTTTTCGCGATAATATTCGGTATTTATTCTGATGCCACGATCAATTAATGCGAGCGCAGAGCGACCATCGGCTGTTAATGCGGCACACACCATCACCATGGCCGGCGCTAGAGTTCGCTAGAGTTCCAACCGAAGGTGGCATTTATTCTGATGCCACGGTCGATTAATACGAGCGGAGAGCGACTATCGGCTGTTATGGCGGCCCACTCCATCACCATGGCCGGCGCTTGATTTCTGGTGGCCAACCGAAAGTGTACATTTTCAGCTGACCTCTTTAGCAAGTAAACACGATCATTTTGTTTGTTTACAAACTGCTGGACAACGAATGTTTTCTCATCAGAGATTGGAGAAAACCAAATTCGACAGTTCACCACTTTCGGCCAAGCGAAGCAACTCTTTAGCTCTTTTGAGTCTATTTTCTGTCTGTTGCGATGTAAGTTCTTGCACTTTTTGGAATTTCAATGGCTTTACCCCGAGCTCATTTTTCAAATATTTGCCGAATGGCATATTGCGATATGTTCAGCTCACGAGCCGCTTTTTCGGCCACTGCGAAGAGGGTTTCAAGTCGCTTCTTTACTTTTCGAACCATTTCAGCTGATGTTGCTGTTTTCTTCCGTCCACTTCCTTGACGTCGGGCTACGCTAACAGTATCACGGTAACGAGCGATACGGGTACGAGACACAAACGATTTATTCACATTTAAGTGCTGGAGTGCTCTAACGATAGACACTTGTGGTTTTCCAGCCAAATATAAAGAAATCACACTATCACTGTTGAATTCCGAACACGAATAACTTTTTTTCTGGAAAATTCTCACCAAAATGCTTTTGTACACTTGTAAACAATATAATGAGCTGTCACTGGAATAATTTTAATAGCTGTCGGAGGAGTGGCTTAGAAATGACAGTAGTCTGAAGTTGGTTGCAGTTTTTATACCCTCCACCTTGGAAAGGAGGGTATATTAACTTTGTCATTCCGTTTGTAACATCCTTAAATATTCATCGTAGACCCCATAAAGTATATATATGTTCATAATCAGCATAAAATTCTAAGTCGATTTAACGATGTCCCTCTGTCTGCCTGTCTGTCCGCCTATCTATCTTTCCTCTGTCTGTCTGTTGAAATTACGATACAGCCTACATTATTTGACGTAGAGTGCCAAAATTTAGCAGATCAATTTGCGTTGTGTCTAGGATGGTTGGTATTGAAAATGAGATATATCGGTCCACGTTTTGGTATAGTCCCCATATAACGGTACCTCCCAATATTCGGTATTTTAATGATTTATGCCACATTTTTTTCACGGATTTGTCTGAAAGTTGGTATTTGTAGGTCATAACGGGCCCCAGTTCGTGTGGCAAAACATTGCATGTATAGGTCCACGCTTTGGTATAGCCCCCATACAACGGTACCTCCCGATATTCGGTATTTTGATTATTTTTGCCACATTTTTTCACGGATTTGTCTAAAAATTGGTATTTGTTGGTCATAATGGATTCCAGCTCCGGTGGCGAAACATTGCATGTATGGGTCCACGATTTGGTATAGCGCCCATATAAAGGTACCTCCCGATATTCGGTATTGTGATGGTTTTTGCCACATTTTTCTCACGGATTTGTCTGAAAATTGGTATTTGTTGGTCATAATGGCTTCCAGCTCCGGTGGCGAAACATTGCATATATGGGTCTACGATTTGTTACAGCCCCCATACAACGGCACCTCCCGATTTTCGGCATTTTAATGGTTTTTGCCAGATTTTTTCACGAATTTATCTGAAAGTTGGTATTTGTAGGTCATAATGGGCTCTAATGTTTCCTTTGCCCTATAATGGAGGGTATTAAAGTTTGGCTCGGCCGAACTTAATGTTTTTTTACTTGTTTCATTTCACCCTATATCTGGTACCTTAAATTTTCTAAAAATTATAATGTCTCTCATACAAAGTGAATGAAGTAGTTGAAATAGTCCAAACCTGGCACGTGGCTTTATTTAAATCAAATTTATTTTGGTCCGATGCGAAATAGATAACATTGACCCATTCCTTCGGACCCTACTTCATATAGGGTCTTTGTAACAGAAGTCAAAATATATTTAAACAAGAAAAAGAGCTGTAAGTTCGGCCGGGCCGAACTTTTAATACCCCCACCATTTGATACAAAATTTGGTAATTTCCAAAAAAAAAAAAAAAATAAATAAATAAATAAATAAAATCCGTTAAAAATTGTGTTAAAATCTTAAAAGTACCGAATGCTTATACGACGACGAAGACCTGCATAGGTAACTTTTGTCATAAGTTATTACAATATTTAAATGCGAAACTTGAAGAAAAATCTGTTTATAATGTAGCTAAAATCATCAAAATACCGAATATAGGGGGTACCGTTATATGGGGGCTATATGAAGACGTGGAGCTACATGGCTCATTTTTTGACTTAGGGTGAAGTATCCATTACGAACTTCAAATACCAAATTTGAAACGATTTCGGTAAATAATGTCGCTAAAATCACCAAAATACCGAATATCGGGGGGTACCGTTATATGAGGGCTACACGAAGACGTGGAGCTGCACAGATAATTTTCTGTCTTAGGCTGTAATATCGATTACGAACTTCAAATGCCAAATTTGAAACAATTCCGATGAATAATGTCGCTAAAATTATCAAAATACCGAATATCGGGAGGTACCGTTATATGGGGGCTATATGATAACTTGGACCTACATGGCCCATTTACGAACTTAACTGCCTACTGGCAAAATATACACGTGTGCAAAATTTTAGCCTTCTATCTCAATTTGTTCGAAAGATAGCGTGATTACAACAGACAGACAGACAGACACACAGACAGACAGAGAGACGGACATGGCTAAATCGTCTTAGAATTTTACGCTGATCAAGAATATATACACTGTTGGGTCTGACGTGAGTATTTCGAGGAGTTACAAACGGAATGACAAAATTAATATACCCTCCATAATATGGTGGAGGGTATAATAATCGAACATTGTCTGAGGATATACATCTGTCGGGCAAGTCCGGCTGATACTTATTTACTTGTTTAGCTCTCCTTTGGTCTAGGAATAGAAAACCTTTGAACCCTTTTAAACGTTTTATTTTATTTTATTTTATTTTCTTTTTCATTTTTTAAAAGACCTTCAACAAATCTGCAGTTTTTGAATTTTTTTTCTACGAATTGCCAGATAAGACAATATATAATCAATTAAAATTCAATAGTTTTAGTATCGGAAAAAAAGCGACACATACGTTTCACTTTTTACTTTCACAAATTCTGAAAAGTTCCACATTTGAAGTATGAGAGATTTGACTGACATTCTCGCTCTCTCTCTCTTGAGAGAATGAGATACAAAAAGCATTTGTTGCTCTTAAGCCATACTAAAGGCCATACTCCTATAAATAATTAGTTTTCCTGCTTCCGCTTTGGTGGGGTGCTAGGCCTGTAACTAGCTACTTCCGTAGGAAACATGCCTCCTCATTCTCAATTTCCAGAGATAAAAGCTAACATCGGCAGAATATCATCTCAACAGTATGCATACATACGTACGTGTGTACCTCCACACATGCCTGAGTGTTTAGGCCAAAATCGGTGACAGAACCCAGATAAGGGTTGAATACTTCGCACCTCATTAAATGATAATAGCCGGTGGCGGTGTTGTGTAGATGAACACAGCGTTTGCGATTTTTTTTCCCCAATTGCTGTTGATGTTGTTGTTGGTGGTGCTGCTGCTGCTATTTTCGATTTTTCGTTGTTCCCCCACAAAAATCATTATCAATTGTCAATTGTTAGACAATTGACTGACGATAAGGCTCGTGTTTAAGGAATATAAGAAGTGTTTTAATCAAATGGCGTAACTAGTGAATATTTGTCTTTTGCGAAGTGAACGTTGAAGAGGAGCAGAACTCCAAAAGAAACCGGATTTTTGGAGCAAAGCTTCAGATAAATTTTCGCGAGTTATGAGAGAAAAAGGTAAGGGCGTTTTTACAACAAGCTGTTACCACCTCAGAACAACTAACTAACTAACCAACCGCACGGCCCTGCCTCCTTTCTTCCCTCCCTGCAGTTATTTTATCATGGCTCCTTGTGGGCCTAAGTGTGGGCCTCTTGGAGGCCGTAGATATTTGTCATACGGAACCGGATGGCACCATTGTACCGGATCCCCTGGATTGCAGTCAATTTCTAGTGTGCAGCGGTGGTGCCATTGAATACATAATGTCCTGTCCCAACGGTCTGCATTTCAATAATGACCTAAAGATTTGTGATTTCAAAGAAAATGCCGATTGTGTGCCGCTGGGTGTGAAAAATGCAGCTGCAAAATTATTGCCAGCATCGACAGGTCCGTCGGGTACGACATGCCTTAATAATGGGCAATGTGATGGTATGCCCGACGGTACCTTGTTTGCTGCACCCAATTCGAATGGTTATATTGTGTGTCAGTGTGAATGTGAAATTGTAATGCCATGTGCCCCAGGAACGGCCTTTAATGAGGCCTTGCAAGTGTGCGATTACATTGACTGCGATGGCAATGGAAATTGCAGTCCATCGCCTTCTCCTGGACCATCTCCCTCACCCTCGCCTTCTCCAGGGCCAACTCCATCGCCATCACCTACACCTGGGCCATCTCCAACGCCCTCACCTACACCTGGGCCATCTCCCTCGCCTTCCCCATCACCGGGCCCTGAATGTTCTGACAACGATAGTGGACTCTGCCAAGGAAAACCCAATGGTTACTTGCTTCCAGGAGCCAACTCCAACAGTTACATTCAATGTATAAATGAATGCGAAGTACCCGAAAAATGCCCATCCGGAACAGATTTTAATGCTGATTTACAGAAATGTGAAGAAGGTAGTGGAGGTGGTTCTCCGACCCCCTCACCGACGCCCTCACCCTCACCCTCACCTTCTCCTGGCCCATCTCCCTCGCCTTCCCCCGGCCCAAGCTGTTCTTCTTCCGACACAGGCCTATGTTCCGGAAAGCCCGATGGTACCCTTCTCAAGGATCCCAACACGACTGGTTACATACAATGCCAAAATGGCTGTGAAATTCCAATGTCCTGCCCCGCTGGAACAACCTACAATGAGGCCTTGAAGATTTGCGACCAAACGGAATGCTCTGGCAATGGCAGCTGCAGTGGAGGAGGTTCTCCCAGCCCCGCTTGCATTGATCCTGGTATGTGCGCTGGAAAACCTGCAGGAACCCTGCTCGCTGACCCCAATTCGATGGGTTACATTGTTTGTGTCCATGGATGCGAATATGCCATGCCATGTGCCCCAGGAACGGCCTTTAATGAGGCCTTGCAAGTGTGCGATCACATTGCGTGCGGTGGCAATGGAAACTGCAGTCCATCGCCTTCACCTTCTCCAGGACCAACGCCTTCACCTGCTCCAGGACCATCGCCTTCACCTTCCCCAGGACCAACGCCTTCACCTTCTCCAGGACCAACGCCTACACCTGCTCCAGGACCATCGCCTTCACCTTCTCCAGAACCAACGCCTTCACCTGCTCCAGGACCAACGCCTACTCCTGCTCCAGGACCAACGCCTTCACCTGCTCCAGGACCATCGCCTTCTCCAGGACCAACGCCTACTCCTGCTCCAGGACCAACGCCTTCACCTTCTCCAGGACCAACGCCTTCACCTGCTCCAGGACCATCGCCTTCACCTTCTCCAGGACCAACGCCTACTCCTGCTCCAGGACCATCGCCTTCACCTTCTCCAGGACCAACGCCTACTCCTGCTCCAGGACCATCGCCTTCTCCAGGACCAACGCCTACTCCTGCTCCAGGACCAACGCCTTCACCTTCTCCAGGACCAACGCCTTCACCTTCTCCAGGACCAACGCCTACTCCTGCTCCAGGACCAACGCCTACTCCTGCTCCAGGACCAACGCCTTCACCTGCTCCAGGACCATCTCCTTCGCCATCGCCTTCTCCTGGACCATCATGCTCCAGCATTGACACTGGTTTATGTGTGGGAAAACCCAACGGAACCCTGCTCAAAGATACCGATTCTAATGGCTTCATAAAATGTGAAAATGGTTGTGAAAACCGAATGACTTGTCCACCTGGAACCGCCTTCAATGAGCAAACTCAATGTTGCTGCGGCGAGGGCTCACCATCACCTTCCCCATCGCCAGGCCCATCACCTGGTCCAGAATGTTCTGACAACGATAGTGGTCTCTGCCAGGGAAAACCCAATGGTTATCTGCTTCCAGGAGCCAACTCAAACAGTTACATTCAATGTATAAATGAATGCGAAGTACCCGAGAAATGCCCACCCGGAACATATTTTAATGCTGATTTACAGAAATGTGAAGAAGGTAGTGGTGGTGGTTCTCCCACCCCCTCACCGACGCCCTCACCGTCACCTTCTCCTGGCCCATCTCCCTCGCCTTCCCCCGGCCCAAGCTGTTCTGCTTCCGACACAGGCCTATGTTCCGGAAAGCCCGATGGTACCCTTCTCAAGGATCCCAACACGACTGGTTACATACAATGCCAAAATGGCTGTGAAATTCCAATGTCCTGCCCCGCTGGAACAACCTACAATGAGGCCTTGAAGATTTGCGACCAAACAGAATGCTCTGGCAATGGCAGCTGCAGTGGAGGAGGTTCTCCCAGCCCCGCTTGCATTGATCCTGGTATGTGTGCTGGAAAGCCTGAAGGAACCCTGCTCGCCGACCCCAATTCGATGGGTTACATTGTTTGTGTCCATGGATGCGAATATGCCATGCCATGTGCTCCAGGAACGGCCTTTAATGAGGCCTTGCAAGTGTGCGATCACATTGCATGCGATGGCAATGGAAATTGCAATCCATCGCCTTCACCTGCTCCAGGACCATCGCCTTCACCTTCTCCAGGACCAACGCCTTCACCTGCTCCAGGACCATCGCCTTCACCTTCTCCAGGACCAACGCCTTCACCTTCTCCAGGACCAACGCCTTCACCTTCTCCAGGACCAACGCCTTCACCTGCTCCAGGACCATCGCCTTCACCTTCTCCAGGACCAACGCCTTCACCTTCTCCAGGACCAACGCCTTCACCTGCTCCAGGACCAACGCCTTCACCTGCTCCAGGACCAACGCCTTCACCTGCTCCAGGACCATCGCCTTCACCTTCCCCAGGACCAACGCCTTCACCTTCTCCAGGCCCATCTCCCTCGCCTTCCCCCGGTCCAAGCTGTTCTGCTTCCGACACAGGCCTATGTTCCGGAAAGCCCGATGGTACCCTTCTCAAGGATCCCAACACGACTGGTTACATACAATGCCAAAATGGCTGTGAAATTCCAATGTCCTGCCCCGCTGGAACAACGTACAATGAGGCCTTGAAGATTTGCGACCAAACGGAATGCTCTGGCAATGGCAGCTGCAGTGGAGGAGGTTCTCCTAGCCCCGCTTGCATTGATCCTGGTATGTGCTTTGGAAAGCCAGAAGGAACTCTGCTCGCCGACCCCAATTCGATGGGTTACATTGTGTGTGTCCATGGATGTGAATATGCCATGCCATGTGCCCCAGGAACGGCCTTTAATGAGGCCTTGCAAGTGTGCGATCACATTGCGTGCAATGACAATGGAAACTGCAGTCCATCGCCTTCTCCTGGACCATCTCCCTCACCCTCACCTACACCTGGGCCATCTCCCTCACCCTCGCCTTCTCCTGGACCAACTCCATCGCCCTCACCTACACCTGGGCCATCTCCAACGCCCTCACCTACACCTGGGCCATCTCCAACGCCCTCACCTACACCTGGGCCATCTCCCTCGCCTTCCCCAACGCCCGGCCCATCACCTGGTCCAGCATGTTCTGCCAACGATAGTGGTCTCTGCCAGGGAAAACCCAATGGTTACCTGCTTCCAGGAGCCAACTCCAACAGTTACATTCAATGTATAAATGAATGCGAAGTACCCGAAAAATGCCCATCCGGAACAGTTTTTAATGCTGATTTACAGAAATGTGAAGGTGGTAATGGAGGTGATTCTCCGACGCCCTCACCTTCCCCATCACCATCTCCTTCGCCATCCCCAGCCCCTACTTGCTCGGATTCTGGTCGATGCCAAGGAAAACCTGACGGCACTATGTTAACAGATCCCAATTCATCTGGCTACATTGTATGTGTATATGGATGTGAATATGCCATGCCCTGTGCTCCGGGAACCGCCTTCAATGAGGAACTGGAAACATGTGATCACATCGATTGCGAAGTGAATGGAAACTGCGGTGGTGACGGCAGTGGTAATGGTGGCGGCAATGGCAATGGCAATGGCAGCGGTAACGGTAGCGGAAATGGTGGCGGCAATGGTGGCGGCAATGGCAGCGGTAACGGTAGCGGAAATGGAGGCGGTGACGCCCCCTGGACTGGACCCTCCGGAACTACCTGCTCTCATGGCGGACGTTGTACCGGCCAACCGGATGGCACCCTGTTTGCCAATCCCGATACCAAGGGTTACATTGTCTGTCAATGTGAATGTGAAATGGCAATGTTATGTGCCCCCGGTACGGCATTCAATGAAGCCCTCCAGACTTGCGATCATATCTGAGCGAATTGCGAGAAAATTTTAATCTACAAACCTTGACCATAATGAGAAGCTATTTCGAGAATTTTTTATACGTCACGATTATTTGATTGATTGATTAATTGTTCGATTAATTTTACACACATAAATAAAAAAAATAGGAAAGCAATACTACACATTTTGTTGTAATATTTATTTAATTGATAAGGGAAAAGTGTTTTTCGTGCGACAAAAAAGAAAACAAACCTGGGAAAGATGACGAGTGTGTAAAAAAATATTTAAAACCAGTAAAGAAAGTCTTAAAGTCGGACGGGGCCGACTTTATGATACCCTACACCACTTTGCTAATTTAGTAGAGCTCCACATAACAATTAAAAGTTTTTATGGGAGAATTCAATCATACAAGCTATGATTATAATTATAATTTAAAGTTCAAAGGACTCAATATGCCGAAGCATTTGTTTCTTGCCCATTTGGTGCATAAATAATTTAAAATCGGAGCCATATCCAAATCTGAACCGATCTCGATACAATTTGGCAAAGATATTTCTCAGCTGTATTTGATATATTTCCTTGAATATCGTTGTTACGGAGTGCATATTACGGTTGTGGGTAATAAATATAACAAATCGGATGAACAATATATATGGAAGCTATAGCTATATCTGAACCGATCTTCAGCAAATTTGACACACTAGCTTCTAGACCCGATTCGGTCGTAAGTCCCAATTTCCATTCCATTTAGACAAATATTAGACGATTGGTGCACAATAAAAGGCAAATCGGACGAAGATATATATGGGAGCAATATTCAAATCTGAACAGATCTCAATAAAATTTGGCAAAGATATTTCTGAGCTGTATTTTCTATACTTATTTCCCCAAATATTGTTGTTGCAGAGTGCATACTACGGCTGCGGAGGACAAAAATAACAAATCGGATGAACAATATATATGGGAGCTATAGCTATATCTGAACCGATTTCGATGAAATTTGGCATACTTATTTTCAGGTCCAATCTGATCGTACGTGCAAAATTCCATACCATTCGGTCTGATATTACACGTTTGGTGCACAATAAAAGGTAAATCGGACAAAGTTATATATGGGAGCAATATCCAAATCTGAACCGATCTCGATAAAATTTGGCAAAGATATTTCTGAGCTGTATTTGATATATTTTCCCAAATATTGTTGTTGCAGAGTGCATATTACGGCTGCGGAGGACAAAAATAACAAATCGGATGAACAATATATATGGGAGCTATAGCTATATCTGAACCGATTTCGATCAAATTTGGCATAGTTATTTTTAGGCCTAATTTGGGTGTATATGCAAAATTCCATACTATTCGGGCTGATATTACACGTTTGGTGCACAATAAAAGCAAATCGGAGGAAGATATATATGGGAGCTATATATAAATTTTGAGCGATTATCTCCAATTTCAATAGGGATCGTCCTAGGGCCAATCAAATGATCTGTGCAAATTATCATCTGGATCGGGCAATAAATGCGATCTGTACTTTGTTTACAAAAATACATGAACAGACGGACAGACTGATGGACAGACGGACGGACATGCATAAATTGACTCAAAATGTGATTCTATGCAGATCTTCAAAAGGAACTATGGGTATGACATAAGTCTGGGAATAGAGTTGAAATTGTAGATTTTTCCTCGAGTGTAAGCATGGGTTAGTCCGGGGACATTTTTTTGGATATCCGTACTATGTAGTGTACAAAAATATACGCAATTCCGTATGCAAAGTAAATTTTGGTAAGTGTTTAGGGTTAAGGTTTAAGATAATGAGGTACTATAACGTGTACGAAAATTGCTGATTTTCTTACCTACTTAATCCCAAATCCGAAACGATACCAGATATGCCTTCCAAAAACTCTCCAAGTTAAATCAAATCTGAAAAAGGCTCCCTTCCCTCACCAAAAAAAAAAAACAAGTTAAAAAGCAGTAGGTTCGGCCGGGCCGAACTTTGAATACCCTCCACCTTTTGGGACGAATTTAAAAATTTTCAAAAAATAAAATTCTTAAAAAATTCTGTTAAAATTTTAAAAATACCAAATATAGCCATCTATTGGGGTCTATACGACGTGGACCTACATAGGCATTGTTTTTCATAAGCCATTGCCATATTCAAACTTGAAACTTGAAATAAACAGTGAATAATGTAGCTAAAATCGTCAAAATATCGCATATAGGGAGGTTACGTTATATCGGAGGTGTGCGAAGACCTGAACCTGCATTGACAATTATCTGTCACAGGCTGTAGCATCCATTACGAACTTCAAATACCACATCTCAAACAATTTCGATGGGTATTGTACCTAAAATCGTCAAAATACCGAATATAGGGAGGTACTGATACATGGGGCCTATACGAAGACCTGGACCTATATAGACAATTTTCTATCACAGATTGTAGTTCTCATAACGAACTCCAAATACGTAATTTGAAACAACTCTGGTGAATAATGACGCTAAAATCATAAAAATACCGAATATCGGGAGGTACCGTTATATGGGGGCTATATGAAAACGAGGACCTACATGACCCATTTACGAATCTAATCTGCCTACTTGAAAAATAAACATGTGTGCAAAATTTTAGCCATCTATATCAATTCATTCGAAAGATAGCGTAATTGCAACAGACGGACATCGCTAAATCGACTTAGAATTTTACGCTGATCAAGAATATATATACGTTGTTGGGTCTGACATGAGTATTTCGAGGAGTTACAAACGGAATGACAAAGTTAATATACCCTCCATAGTATGGTGGAGGTTATAAAAAAAACCTCCGAAAAGTGCTGATTTTATTACCACTAATCTTCAATCCTAAACCAATCAGGTATGCCTCCCAAAAAATATTCAAGTTAAAGCAAATCTCAAGATATTTTTTTCTAAAAATGTATTTTGCTTTTGTTTTTTGTTGTATTTTTATTTAGAAGAACAAATTATTTAACATTCGCTTGGCAGTTCGCATTATAAGGCCACTCACAACGCAAACTTTTGCTACTGAAATGCAAACCCTTCGGACAGGCCATGGTGTGGGCTTTCCCTTGTAGACAATAGATAAAACGGCTGCAGTCGTAGGGGTGCGGCAGGGTACGATTTGATTTGAAGACCGAACATAAAACGGACAGATCACGGGTTCGTTTGATGTTCAAAGGTGGTTGGCGGTGGCCAGCAACGTTCGTTGGCCCCTTGGCGGGTGCCGTTGACATTGGAACGGAACCTGTAGGTAATGCCATCAATTGATTCGGTTTTTTGGTAACCTTCGCCGCTGTGGCATTCATCGGCAATGGAATCGTATAGCTACACTGGGCCTTATCGATGTCCATGCATTTCCGTTCGATTAAATTGAAATGTTTCTGGGGTTGACAAACTCGTCGCACAGCATATTTCTGATAGCAAACATAGTATAGGGAACAAGATTGTTTTTTGCCAAAGCTAAAACCTGGCGAAGCCTTGGCACAGATGTCATTGGCTTCAATGTCGGTGGATGCTTCCAATATGGTTGGATCATTTTCTTGACACCTGGCATTCAGGGGATGATCACAGATAGCCAGATCAGCATTGAAATGATAGAAACTGCCACAAGAACTGGCAATGGCATTGCCATCCACACAGAAAAAGAAACCGGAACAGGAACCAGGCATGGCCACCATAACACCATCTTTGCCGGAACATAAGGAAATTGTGACCGGGGTCTTGGAAGCCTCATCATTGGCCTAAGGAGATACGAGATGTTAAACTTTTCTTGAGTATTTTTTTTGTGGTTTAAGCTGTAAAACTCAAACAAGGGCTTACTTCGGCCGCCGATGCTTGCAGGCCATAGGTGGCGGCAATCAGACAAATTATTAACAGCATAGCTGTCATGTTGGGTAAGAGAAACGTTGGATTTACAATTGTTTTGCTTAGACGAGAGTTCGTCAACATTTATATGGGGTGTTGGGAGCAACGCATTTCGTGATACCACCCTAGCTCCGGTGGCAGCATTACCAATCATTGATGCTACAGGATGATACAAAAAGAACTCATTTAATATTCATGTTCCCAGCTATTTGTAAACAGATAGTTTATCTTTTGTGATTGAGAATTGATTTCTTGAGACAATTCTACCATTACTGATATTTATATCTTGAAACAAAACAAAACAATAAACGAGACAATTGCCAAATGTAAATGAGAAAAGCGCAAGCCCCCACGGACCCCCTTCCCCCATACTATAGAGCAATCATATATGGCGTCTCAAAAATTAGTTGTTATCATCAGCTATTGATTTTTGCGAATGCCAACCATCATGTTCAAATTTCAACAGATACAGTGCATTATCTGATATGGATGACTTTTCTGACTTTTCCGAGTCGAATATCAACTTAAATTCTTCCAAGGTATTTGCAAAACCACCCCCTATTGTAGCGGATGTAAATGTATCAATGAAGGAAATTCAACTTTTGACCGGAGACGGATGTACTTACAAACGCACTTCCATCGGCACAAAAATATTTCCGCAAACGCAGGAAAAATATGATTTCTGCATCAAGGTATTAAAAGAAGGATTGATTGAGTTCCACACGTTTAATTCAAAATCAAACAAGCTGTATACCACTTTCCTATACGGTCTCCCTAGGTTAAATGTAGATGAAATCATAAAAGATCTCATAGCATACAACCTACCTCCAGCATCTGTAACTGAAGTTCAAACAAGATTTAGTAGTGCTGATAACGCTGTGTACAAGGTTCAGTTTAATAGGAAATCCTTTAACCCCAATAATTTAAAAAATATTAAACTAATTTGTAAAATCCACGCAACTTGGAAAAAATATAAACCAAAACAATCAGAGAGACCTACAATATGCTGGAATTGTCAGATGCATGGTCATGGTGGTGACCATTGTAATAGGAAATCAAATTGTATGACTTGTGCAAAAGCACACAGAACTGATGAATGCCCTCTTACAAAAGATAATAAACGGCCCCATGTGTTCTCCTGTTTTAATTGTATAAAGGCAGGTCAACCAAGATCGGATCATGCCGCGAATGATGTTAATTGTCCTATGCGCCAAAAATATATAGAAATAAGACAAAAAGTAACCGCAAATCAGAGAAATAGGCACACAGTTGTACGTCCCAGACAAGCACGTACCTCAGCAAATATAAACAACACACATCATGTTTCGCCGTTGCTTGCAAACAACAACAACAACTCAACAACCTATGCCTCGGCAGTAAGAAATGAATGTCCCAATCTATTTAACATTGATGAACTATTCAACATTTTTTCCTCTTCTCTTGATGACCTGTGCAGATGTACGTCCAAAGTACAACAAATTCAAATTGTAATGTCTCTTTTAAGATATGCCTATGATCTTAAATAATTGCATAGAGACATTAAATATTTTACACTGGAATGCCAACGGTATTACTTCATATTCTCATATGTTACAATTACAAAATATTCTTAAAGAAAATAATGTTCACATAGCCGGACTAAATGAAACATTTTACAAAGAAAACCACAGACCATATTTTGAAAATTACAAAATCTATCGTAATGACCGACAAAATAGGGGTGGTGGGGGTGTTGCAATTTTGGTACACAAAAATGTAAACCACCGTTTATTACCGATCATCAATACTGAATTAATAGAAAACCTTTCAATTGAAATTGTTGTGAATAACAGAAAGGTTATAATAACAACAGCATATTCACCTAGATTTGCATCTTCTTTTACAAACGACATCAAACGTCTCACTCCTGATAATGTTGACTTCATATTAATAGGCGACCTTAATGCCAAACATTGCTCATGGAATTGTTCTTCTAACAACACCGCCGGTTGTGCTCTTAACAATTTGCAGCAGCTACAGAACTACTTTGTGTATTATCCGGACAAACCCACTTTGTACCCCCATCGTCAAAACAGCAATCCGTCCACAGTAGATATCGTATTAAGCAATTTAACGATTCCGATGGCAATCACATCTATGGATTACGTAATTCCATCTGATCATCGCCCTGTTCTCTGTGCAATTTCGGCTTATGTTAAGAAAGAAAATGCTACTCCATATTCATATAAACATACGAATTGGAATTTGTTCCAAAACATAATTGAAAATAGTATCAACTTGACGTTAGATCATTATGGATCCGAAACTGCTATAGATAAAGAGATTAAAAAATTCATAAAACTTATACTAAAAGCCAGAGATATGTCAACTTCACAATGCGTTCCAAAAAGTTACAATAATTTTCCGCGGGATGTATTATATTTGATTGGACAAAGGAAAAAATTCAAAAGAAAGCAGCTCCGAGCTCGGGACAACTCAGAATATAATCATTATGGTCAGTACACCTCATTTCTCACAAAACATATAGATAAGAGATTGTACGAATATAAAAACAGGAAATGGTCAAAGCTCTTAGAAAATATGAAACCGGGTGATAAAAGGTTTTGGAAGATTAGTCGATCCTTGAGAAACAAAGGGAACCATACTATTCCTGATCTTTTTGATGGTCCTACAAAATTAATTACGGATCCAGAAAAAGCGGAGTTACTTGCAAAATCATTCAGTAATTCACATATACTTACCTCTTCGTTTAGCCATTCCGTCGATGACACTGTTAACTTATCTGCATCACAGTTAAACTCTGTACCCCCGTCCATAGAGAATATAACCTACATATCAAATAATGAAGTTATAGATATTATTTCCCTGTTAAAGCCGTCAAAATCACCAGGTTTTGACAAAGTACCCAACTTTGTACTAAAGCATCTACCAGAGAAGGCAACACAACTTCTTGTTCATCTTTTTAACAATTCTATGCGACTCAATTATTTTCCTTCCGTATTTAAAGAGGCAAAGGTCATTGCAGTGAGAAAACCTAATAAACCTGCTAGTGATCCAACGAGTTATAGACCCATTAGTCTACTAAGTAATTTGGGTAAAATTTACGAAAAAATAATTCATTCAAGACTTTTGAATCATGCAACTGAATTGAATATAATTTCTGATAACCAATTCGGGTTCAAGAAAAACCATAGCACTACCCACCAAATCGTCCGTTTAAAAAACAAAATACTTAAAAACAAAAATAGAAGAAAATCAACCGGATTAATTCTTCTTGATATAGAAAAAGCATTTGACACAGTGTGGCACAATGGTCTCCTACATAAATTGTTGAAGGCTAATTTACCCATCTACCTCTGTAAAATTATTGCACATTTCATAAAAAATAGATCATATGCTGTTGCAGTTAACCAAAGTAGGTCTTCATTTAAAAAAATTCCAGCTGGACTTCCACAAGGTTCCATATTATCTCCTACGCTATATTCCATTTATACATCGGATTTCAAACCACCTCGTGAAATTGATACTGCATACTACGCAGACGATACAGCACTTATATCTTCTAGTAAATTAACATCGGCTCTCCTTAAAAAAATGGAGTTAAGCTTAATGGCGTGCAACAAATATTTCAACAAATGGAAAATCAAATTGAATTATAATAAAACTCAAGCAATAATATTCCCATTCAACAAGTCTCCAAAAAGAATTCCTAGAAGACAATTACGGTTCTATAGAAATGATATTAGCATCGCCGATGAAATAAATTATCTCGGAGTAACACTGGACAAAAAACTGACATTTAAATATCATGTCCAATCATCGTGCCAGAAGGCGTTAAAAGCCTCTAGAGCCTTATGGCCCTTCCTTAATAGAAGATCCAAATTATGCTTGGAAAACAAAAATTTATTATATAAAGGTGTAATACGGCCAATTCTGTCGTACGGGTCCCCTATTTGGTATAGAGCTGCGAAATCGCATATAAAAAAGTTCCAGATAATTCAAAATAAATGCCTGAAGATAATATACGACAAAAACTGGCATTTTCCTACCTCTACGTTACATGAAGAAACAGGATATGAACTATTCGCCGATTTCATAAAACGCCTCAATGATAAATTTTTTATAAAAGTTTCGACATCTCGTTATTCTAAGATAAGAGAATGTATAGAAGAATTTTAATATATTTTATATGACAAATTAAAATTATCAATTTGAAATTTATTGTATTAAAATTTGTTATATTTATATAATCAATTTTAATCAATATAGTTTCTAATTATATTTGAAATCTATTTTGTAGTTCAAATATAGGTTTTGTATCCTTTTTCCTATAAATCAATTAAAATCTAGTGCTCTTATTTATAAATTATTACATGAAATTTAATTGCTGTAAATCACTACGATATATCTCAAAAATTGTATTATATGTTCCTTAGAAAATAGTTATTGGATAAATAAAATTGAATTGAATTGAATTGCTTCATTAGCATTGTCAACGTGATAAATGAACAGGTTGGACCACGAGGTAAACAACTCCAGAGGTGTTCATGTAATTTTTTTCTTTAGGAAATACAAAGATTTTATCGTAGCTACAGAGGATCATAATCTAAACATAGATTTGTAGCTACTTCTTTCAACAATGCATTACAGAGTTTAAAAATTAAAGCATACTTTCAGGCGTTATGTGTTTTATATCCTTTAAACAACATGTAAACATAAAACTAGTTCCAAACTCTCGGGAAAAGATTGTGAAAACATAATTTGGGTAGTAAAAGAGAAGGGTTTTTTAGAGAAATTATTCAAAAGCAGGCCCATATTGGGTCTCTTATTACAGGAAAAACTTGAGCACGTTTTCTAAATCTACGGAAAGAAATGTATTTTCGGCCAAGACGTCTATATATGTAACGCCTAAAAAACGCCTCGTATATAGGGCATGCCATATATACAGGGTGAGATAAAAAAAATTAAGTTCGGCCGGGCCGAACTTTTAATACCCTCCACCTTAGGGTAATGGAAACACTAGAACTAATTATGACCCACATATACCAATTTTTAGACATATTCATGGAAAAATGTGCCAAAAATCATCAAA